ATAAATAAATAGATTGTGATGGACAAAGAAAGATGTACCGACATCTGGTAATTTAGCTCCAAGTCCAATAACATCTGGAAGATTTTTGAATATAATAGAAATATATTGTGATAAACAAACAAAAGAATATGTTAAGTATAAGACTGTTTAAAGAAATAAATTATTGAAAAAATAAAATCTTTTTTAAATACTGAATTTGGATTTATATAATAATTTTTGTTATTTAGGTAAAGTACTTTTTAGCCAGATTTAAAATTGAATTTAATTACAATGCGATACTTTAAAATACTTTCAATATATCATTAGTTTTTAAGCTCCTGTAACAAACAAGATCTTAAAAATTACAACATACTTAAAGCTATAAAAGCTTAAAATTACATTAGCTTATAAGTACCACATATTAAAAATCTAAAAATAAAAAAGTGAATGGTATCAATAGTTTACAATATTACTTTTAATTATGCAAATTATTTCTAGTCTGCAGTCTTATTATTAGGGTTGCTAGACTTTCCTGCTTTTATGGAGGAGAATGCAGTTTCAAACCTCTGAAAATAATTTTTTTTTCTGTGTTCTTGTTTGTAAAAGCTGGAGATCTAGCAACCCAATCTATAATGAAAAATGACTAGAATATGCAAGAAATTTCCTAAATGTAAAAATTTTTATAAAAATAGCTACAGGCAAATTGTCAGGCGGAGGACTAAATTTAACAAACTGGTATTCTGGTTAAAATTAAACTGGTTTGGTATATATATATATATATATATATATATATATATATATATATATATATATATATATATATATATATATATATATATATATATATATATATATATATATATATATATATATATATTTATATATATATATATATATATATATATATATATATATATATATATTTTATATATATATATATATATATATATATATATATATATATATATATATATATATATATATATACATATATATATATATATATATTTATATATATATATATATATATATATATATCCATATAGTGTAGTTGAAAGAGCGTTTTAAAGTAAAAAAAGTCTCTTTCGACTACAATTTTAATTACCTTGTCTCTTAAGCTCTATTTGATTGTCGTCGAAATGTCAAAGCAATTAAATTAATGAGGAAGTACATTAAATTTTATTGTTTTTTAAAAAATTTTTATAATAATTTTATAATAATAATAGAAAGTTTTTTTTAATTAGTGGTGTTTTTGTTTTTGTTTTATTAAAAAACATTTTTAAAACATGCGTAAATGTTGCTACATCGACTATCTTATAGCCTGGTGCTACAAGGGAGTGTTTCTACATCGACTATCTTATAGCCTGACTCGCAACGCAGTGCTGCTACATCGACTGACAAATAGCCTGATTCGCAAGGGAGTGCTGCTACATCGACTGACAAATAGCCTAACTCGCAAGGGAGTGCTGCTACAATGACTGACAAATAGCCCGACTTGCAAGGGAGTGCTGCTACATCAACTGAGGATTTGATTTGGGCAGGCAGTCTATCATTTAAAAAAAAATTTAAACTTTTTCTGGTCTGGTTTATTAACGCGCTCTTTAAAACTACAGTTTATGGGAAACTCTTTCTGACTACCATGCAAGAGTATATATATATATATATATATATATATATATATATATATATATATATATATATATATATATATATATATATATATATATATATATATATATATATATATATATATATATATATATATATATATATATATATATATATATATATATATATATATATATATATATATATATATATATATATATATATATATATATATATATATATATATATATATATATATATATATATATATATATATAAAAGGGTAGATGACAAAAAACATCTTTTTACTGTACTTACAGTTTCATGTCGTTTTTGGCACTCATCAGCCATATATTTAAATCAAGATAAAACCGTTTAAAAATACTATTAAAAAACTCTTACAAAATTCCAAAATAACATTGGAATGAGTTCCGTTGTCAAATAATAATAATAATAATAATAATAATAATAATAATAATAATAATAGTAAAAATAATAATAATAATAATAGCAATAATAACAATAATAATAATAATAGTAATAATAATGACAACAACAATAATAATAATATGGAAAAAACATCTTTTCTAATTGCCAGTGTCAAATTGAGAAAGGAGGAATCTGTTTATACGTCTGCACTTAATAACAATCTCACTCCTTTTATTTAGTATATTTGTTTTTTTATAATTTAGGATTTCATATTTTTTGGTGTGACATAGTTTATAAGATTTGGATGTTGGATTATATGCTTTACATCAATGCATACATACATTACATAATATACTAAAACAAATACCACACTCGGTTGAACTTAGATTATCTACAAGTTCTTCTACCAAAAAAATGTTTCAACATACTATTCCACTATATAATGAAGCTTTATTAAAGTCTGTTTTTAAATGTAGTCTAACATATAATCCTAAAGCAACATTAACTCGAAAACGGACTAGAGCAGGCAACATCATTTGATTTAATCCTCCATTTAGAAAAAAATGTTAGCACCAACGTGAGAAAATGTTTTTTGAAATTTATTGACAAACATTTTCCTAATAATAAAAAACTGCATAAAATCTTTAACAGGAACACAGTCAAAGTTAGCTACAGTTGTATGCTAAGTGTAAAGTCAATCATAAATTTGCACAACAAGTACATTTTACGCAACGATACAAACTCTAATCAAGAAAATTGTTACTCCTTAAATAAAAATCTAAGTTTTTCATTTAATAAATGTTTAACTAGCAACATTTTATACCAAGCAACTGTAACCACCACTAATAGCAAATTATATCCTAACGAAAATCCTACTTGAAGTGATGGCATTTCTTAACAAGTGGTTATAATCATTTTATTATTATTAGATAATTTGTAAATATTAGATGTTTTATCAGCATACATATAAGTTAGATTAGATTTTCAAATAATGTTTATATCTTTTTTTAGTTGGTGTAAGTGAGACTTCTTTTAAATTGAGATACAATAATCACATTAAATCTTTTAACATACCTAAATACAAAAATGATACTGAGCTCTCAATGCAGGTATGGAAAATAAAAGAATCCGATTTAGTTCCTATAATTAAATGGAAAATTCTCATGCGATGTAAAGAATAAAATTCAACATCCAAATCTTATAATTTCTATTATTATTATTATTATTATTATTTGACGTCGGAATTCATTCCATTTTTTTTTTTTTAATTTTGTAACGTTTTTTTCAACAATCTTTTTGTTCCATACGTTGAGCAAGTCGCATATTTTATTTAATTTTGCTATGGAGTTAGAGTCGGAGTTGATGTCGGAATAGGATTTGTACTTAGAAAATTTCAACAACTGGAGTTGGAGTCTACTTTTTTTTTACGACTCTACATCCCTGTACAGCTTCTAATTGTTTTATCACCTTAAAAAAACCATAAAGATAATTTTGAAAACAATCCGACTGTCCGTTTATTGAATCCTGCTAAAAATTAATACAGACCTAAGAAGTATATTACAACTAAATCAATGGAAAAACACTCGAAATGTTATCGATTGGTTTAAAGCCATAAAAGACTAACACCTTTACAAATTTGCACAGCAACACTTAACACTAAATAAAGAGAATATATTGTTAATTTTTCTTGCAAGAAAGTTTTTGTTTTTCTATAATAATCAGGTTTGGATAAAGCAATCAAGTGGTTTATTTGATGTTTCCATGGGAGCTTTCAACGGCGCGGAGGTTTGTGAGCTAGTAGGAATGTTTCTTTTTTTTGAAATTTCAAAGTTTTATGACAAGTTTGAGGTTGGTTTATACCGTGACGATGGCTTAGCAGTTTTTAGTAATAAAAGTGGCCCTCAAATGGAAAAAATAAAAAAGCATATTGTCGAAATATTTAAAAGATTACGGATTTCTATATAACTTTTGGATTTCTATATAATGCAACATGAAAATTGTCTATTACCTCGGCATTATTCTAAATCTTATTAAGTGCACTTGTAAACCTTATTTCAAACCTTTAAATTATATCCATGCTGATTCAAATCATCCACCAAGTATACTAATACAAATAAAAATTGTTATCATTACTATTATTATCATTAATATTGTTATTTGACATCGGAACTCATTCCAATTTTTTTTTGTATAAAAATTATATATATATATATATATATATATATATATATATATATATATATATATATATATATATATATATATATATATATATATATATAATTTTTTTCTATTAATCTTATTGTAAATTGAATAGTATAATAAATTGCAATTTCATATGGTAGAGAAAGGTACAAAAATATATACCAATAACATTTACCTGCATATTTTTTTTTTTTAATGAAAAAACAATTACCATTCTCAGTTTAATAGGAATCAGTAATATTTATTTATATGTAAATAACAAAAAAAAAAAAAAAAAAAAAAATTTTTGTTGCACAAATTTTTTTGGGAAAAAAGCCACTTCAACAAAATTATGTGGAATTCATAGTTATTTTAAATAGATCATTAACATGGAGAAGCTTGTTACAAATATGGAATAGGTATACTAATATGGAATATACATAAAAAAAATGTAATTATCATTTTGTTTATTTGTTTCTTTCAGCATCGCACTTCTTCTAAAACTAAAAAAAAATCTTTATAACTACTTGAACTTAATCTGAGAAAACTAATTTCTGTTAAATAAAAATGTTTAACATTTCTCAATTTTTTCCTTTCCCTTTTCAATTGAATTTCATTTTTAATAAATTTTACAAATATTTATTTGAATAATCGCATGCATTAATTGACAAAATAGTTAGTCTACATTTAAAATTTAGTCATTTTTTATTTATTTTAGGTGGGCCTTAAATGCATCTATTTTAAAATATAACATTTTTTAAAAAATGTTAAATTGCTTACTTTAAATTTTTTTTTTTAAGTAAATTCACTGAAGATTATAGAAAAATTTGAATTAGTTGAATGTGAAGCTCGATCAATTAAATTGAAGTGGCAACTAAACAATAATTATGCATCAGATCAAGTATTAATGGTTAAATGTTCAAGGTTTGACGAAAGAGAGAAAACATCAACAATCATAAATATGACTGGTTTTGTAACAATAAATAGTCTTGCACCAAATACTAGGTACAAATGTAAGGTATGATAATTTCAACTGCTATTTGTTAGAAATCAAAAATGTATTGAAAGGTAAGTATTTTAAATAAATTCTACACCTCAATCCATTTGAACCAAATTATAAAAATTGCTATAAATAAATCTAAAATCTAGTGGTTTAAAAATTGCCAATTAATTAAAGTTTCAGTTAGTACTGAGTTATGTAAGATTTTTTTGAAAGATTTAATATTAGTAAAACTTATGGATAAAAAAAGTTTTATTCGATTAAATATTAGAATAGTTTTCTTGTTTCACCGTTTTTTATTGTTTCAGCCTAATGCTGTTTTTACTTTGAAATATTTTTCTCAGTAAACACAGAAAAATATGTATAAAAAAATAATTTTTTTTCTATACATGTTTTTAAATATGTATTAAAAACATTTTATTGTTTCGATTAAACTTTTGTTCAAGTGATTTTTTTTTGCGTGTTTAAGAATTTATTTTTCTAAAAAAATTACCTAGTTCACTAAAATTTAAAAGAAAAGCAGATATAATGTATCTATATGTTATCTTTTGGTCGGACAAAACTTAGTTAGAAAAATAAGAAATGTACAATTAAGTATTTATTTAATTTACTTTCTTTTTTTTTACTATTTTTATTCTACTTAAACAATATCTTTCGAATTGTTTAAATATTAAAAGTTAATAAAAAGTAGCTTACTGCTTACGTTTAATGACTCAATGGGTACAAAAATGACATGCCACTTTATACTTTAAAACAAGGGCTGAACTATATATACATATATATATATATATATATATATATATATATATATATATATATATATATATATATATATATAATATATATATATATATATATATATATATATATATATATATATATATATATATATATATATATATATATATATATATATATATATATACTTGAAAAGTTGAAGGTTGTATGAGTCAGGAAAGCATAAATACGGGAAGGATTTCTTGTGAAAATGCTGAAATGCAGGGAAAAACACTTGACAAATTAAAGTTTTTATTAAAATTTATTATTGCCTAATGTTCCTTAATAAATATTAAGCAATCATTTTGTAAAATACATTTAAACATATATCTGTATTTATGTGTCTGTATACACACAGACACACACACACACACACACACACACACACACACACACACACACACACACACACACACACACACACACACATATATATATATATATATATACACATATATATATATAATCATATATATTTATATATATATATATATATATATATATATATATATATATATATTTACATATATATATATATATTTATATATATATAAATATGTATATATATATACATATATATGCAATATATATATATATATATATTTATATATATATATATATTTATGTATATATATATAAACATATATATATACATATATATGCAATATATATATATATATATTTATATGTATATATATAAATATATATATATATATATATTATAAATAAAATATATATTAAAAATATATATATATTAAAAAAATATATATATATTAAAAATAAATATAAATATATATATATATATTTATATGTATATATATAAATACATATATATATATATATATATATATATATATATATATATATATATATGCACATTTATATATATTTATATATATTTATATATATATATATATATATATATATATATATATATATATATATATATATATATATCCTATATAAAAATATAATATATCCAATATAAAATATATATATATATATCCTATATAAAAATATAATATATCCAATATAAAATATATATATATATATCCTATATAAAAATATAAGTACAGTATTTAGTGTATATTGCATTTAATTTTTGAATATTTAAAAATTTGATTATATTTATTTTTTAATTGTTAGGTTTGTTATTATATTATTTATTATTTTTACATCTTTATTTTTACTCCATGAGTCTTGATGGTATCCCTGTGCAAATATTTAAGAGGATGAAGTGAGTCAAGCAAGTAATTAACAATATATCAACAAAAATTGTTAACTAAAACTTAAAATTGTAAACCAGGTAATTTTTTAATCTTAGAGAAGTGGAGGTCAATTAATTTTCTTTATCCCACTTTTTCCATAATAATATGTATATATTATATTAAAAAGGAGTGTTAAGTTTACTATGATGCAACTTTTAAGGAGAGCTTCTAAACTTACGCGCAGCTTTTTTTAAAGCTTAAATTACCGATTCTGTTTGTACTTAAAAAAAGAATGTGCTAAAGTAAATTTGTTATTCTATCTGTATATCTAATTAATTGTTAAATCTTATTTTAAAAATGAATAAAAAAAAAGTTGCCATTTTGTAAAAATCTTTCTTGAAAGTAGGGTAGTTAGTAAATTCAACCTTTTTTGGGAACCAAAACAATATATTTTAAGTTCTACTTTTTTAGTTTTAGTACAAATGATTCCTTATTTTTATGTTTTATATTTAATTTTTAATGCACTGATTGTTTTAAGGATATGCATTACTACTTTCGATTAGGGTTTCATTGTAGTTGTATATTACCAATTCACAGTTTGTACCTTATCCACTTTTCAAAATTAATGCAAATTTATTGATGAGAGTTGCAAGATATTTTAATTCTTTCATTCAAATTTGACTATTGTTTTTTCAATCTTGAAAAAATAAATAGTTTTCTATAGTGTGAATAATTCTAAGTATAAGTCCTCAATTTACTCTGATTCTTAATAAGAGCGTTAGTGACAAATGGATATTTGCTATTTTTTTTTCTACTCAGACTTTTCTAACTTTATTTTTTTCTGACTCCTAAATAAGTTGCTTTTAAGTTACATATAATCATCAATGTTAATGAATCTGACAAAAGTTTCAGTTTTTACTGTTGAAGTTTTAATGAATTTGGCCGAAGTTGCAGTTTTTACTGTTAAAGTCTCAATGAATCTGGCAAAAGTTGTAGTTTTTACTGTTGTTTATTATCAAATCTGAATTGGAATCAATGATAACTTATGCTCCATGCATTTCTATCCAAGCTTATGTAAACATTTGTAATAATATTATCATCTGCATCCTAATATATACTAATATATATCTAAAATATACTAATATATATCTAAAAGAAAAAAATATAACATATACTAATATATATCTAAAAGTTGGTTTATAATATTTTTAGTTTATATATTAAGTTTATTGACAATTCTCAAGTTTAAAGAGTTTGAGTTTTACATTCTGCTGCATATATTTTTCCAACATTCTTTGTAGCATTTTAATGGAACTGTTTTAACAAGTTGCTACATCTTGTTTATTTTGGTCAGGCATGATAAAAGTGGATGAATGTATTTTAACTGTTCATTATTAAATCAATTTATGTAATAATATCAAAACAAAATTTATAATGATGTAGTTGCTATTATTGTACATAATGCATTGAACCAAAAACTTCATAACTCACCATCTTGGCATAAGCTCTAAATTTAAATTCAATAAATTTATATTTTGACTGCCTGCTAATCTAAATCACTTATCTTCTATATTTTCACACAATTTTACCTATTCCCTAGGTAGTCATGTGAATTATGAATACTACACTGCACCAATCCCAGATAATCAGTCAATGTATGTATACTTACAGTTTCTATCCCTAAGTAGCAAAATATTAAAGTTGCAAAATATCAAAACAGGTGTCTTGGTGTGGGAACTTTTTTTGAATTGAATGAATTGACAAAAATAAATGTGATTTTTTGAATTGAAATTTGTTGAGTTGAAACTTTTGTCGTAACACTAACATTTTCTTTCAAGCCCAATAAAAGCAAAAAAAAAAAAAAAAACCCTATTATAAATATACAATTTTTGCATTACAATGAAATCTAACATCAGTTTTCGTGTCAATTGAAAACTTTTTTTTATCAGTATTGGAGTGTAGAAGTAAAAACTTCTTTTATGTCTACATGAGGCCACCATTTTACTTTTAATATTTATCAGGGATTTTTGATTAATTATCATAATAAAGTATTTTTCATTTAAGCAAAGACATCTCTTTGAGGATAGATTATAAGATTGACATTTTAAAATTTTTCTAAAATTTGAATTCACCTTACCAAGGCCATAAAGACCACTTTTGTAAAGGTTATGTTAAAAAGATTTTGTAAAGGTTATGTTAAAAAGATAATTTTTTGGCCTGTAGTATGAATGCTGATTAAGAAAATCACATTTATTTTGTCCAATTGATTCACCTGTTTTGATATTTTTCAAATTTTAATATTTTGCTACTTAAATTTAGTTTAGTTATTATCTAATTTTTGTTGCAAAAAATTATTTTTGTACAATGTAGTGTGTATGTTAGGGTTATGTAGAAATAAATGAACTTTTACGGATTGAACAGAATAAATGTGATTATCTTAATACTGACTAAGAAAATCTCATTTATTTTGTTCAATTCATAAAAATGTACCCGCACTAAGATACCTGACAACATATAAATTATATGTTCAGTTGATAAAAATGTACTCGCACTAAGATCATGACAACATAATAAATATTACCAAAAATATTTCCCTCGAAAAGTATATTAAGTTGGGTCTCAAAAGAAGCAGAATTTCATAGAAAGTTTAAAAAATTTAAATAAAAATCAGTTTTTTTAAGTTTTGCGTTAAAATTAAATTTTTAAACAAAAATTGAAAATAAGACTTATTTATAAGAAAAATATTTTTTTAAGACATTTAAAAAAGATTGTTATTTATAAAATTTCCTATACAATTATACTTTGTTTGAAGCCTAACATAATACATTTGAAAGAAAAGGTTTTTTGTTAAGATATGACACTTACCATGTCATTAGGCTGTCTTGGTGCGGGAGCTTTTCTTTCTTTGTTTCTTTAGAACTATCCCTAATAGTTATTTATAATCGCAAAAATCACAAAGGTCACAAAAGTTCATCATTTGTGACCACTTAAGGTACATAATTTTGCAAAATTATTTTCAGTCATAACCTTAGT